ATTCTAATAGTGATATGCTGTGCAATTGAGGCTTGAAATATTTTTTTTTCTCCTTTGGAAAAAATATCAATGGAATAAGCGAGATATCAGTTAAATGCAAGCAGATTTTTATGTTTTTATGTGAAAGAACTACTATTCAAAACAGTCAATAACCCAACGTGTAAGCTTTTAATACTATTGGTATACAACGGTTCTATTACATGTTCTTGCACCAGTTGGCGCTTCTGGGCTCATTTATATGAGAACTGTCAAGAAGGCGCAGTGTCGACTTGTTCTTACATCAGTTGGCGTTGACGTAAGAAGGCATAGCGTCGAGTGCCATCTTAATCATCCGAAAAATGATTGTGCAAGTGATTAAGTAATCGCAAAACGCCCACCTGTAGTGCAAAGCAGAATGTCATGACTTTCCGACACACTCACGCAATCAATGGATCATATCGATTCTGACACTTTGACTCGACTGATTCATTGCAGGTATGAATGAACACATAGCAAGCATCAGAATCAGTGATTTGTCTATTGCGATTAATACTCCGCCCCAACTCTTCTTCTTGATTCTTTGAAATCGTTCAGTATCAGGAGATCTGTCACAACGGAAGACATCAAAATACGGTGGGAAAATTTGCGTTGAGGTGCGTTTCGCTCAACATGTAGATTTTAATATTTGATGCCAAGACTAGAGTTAGGGAATTGATTGCTTTCTCACTATCTTTCACTCCGTTTACATTGTTACAGTACATCACAGCATCATCGAGCATTGGATGGTGAACATTTAGTTTTGGTACTGAACATTGAGCGGTTGATAAACCTGTGCATGTGGTTGAAAATGTTGAGACTGACGGAACGGTGGCATACCTAGCTGTGAATGGATTTGTTGTTGCGGCGGAGGGAAAAAATACGGCGGCTGGTACCAAAAAGGAGGTGGAAAAACTTCTGAAGAATCAATTGTGCTGTCAAGGCGAGTCTCGCAAAGCATAAATATTGCAGAATCCGAAGCGATTATGTCAGCATTAAATTCAGCAAGTCTGGATCTCACTCCATTGATGTTTTGCGTGTGTATATTTTTCTTCAGTTTATGTAAATGTGCGGTGAAATGAATTATTGTTCAAAAATGATGAGGCATGCCGTTCAAATGTGGTACTCCGTAAATTGGGTGTCGATATTGGTCGGAATGATAATTCTGCTGCGGATCGGTCCAATATTGCGGTAAAAAAGACGAAGACTGCTGATGTGGCCTGGCAATTTGACTGTTTTGTGCAAAACGGCCATATTGGAAATTATCAGGAACACCGTATTGGTATCTACCATCGACTCGGTAGTTGAAATTCATGTTTTGGTCACTATTCTGAAAAAATTGATTGTTATTATAACCATTCGAGTAGCCAAAATTGTCATTACGTCTGATGTTATTGCGCCGTTCAACAAATCGGCCGTATCCACGACGTGATCGTTGGAAATTTCCATTCCAATTCCTGCGATTTGGTTGTGATCGATGATTGTTGATGGTTTTGCTTCTCGATGGCATTGAATTCGGCCTTTGACTGTGACCATTTTGATTTAGACGCTGATGCCGATGTTTATTTTGACCAAAACGTTGACGACTTTGTCTGGCTTTCTCTTTCTGAAATGTTCTGACTGTATAATCAGGTGCCCATATTTCATTATTCAGGATTTGATTGTATATGGATTGGTTCAGAGTAGAGATTTTGAACGCCAAATGCTGTCTCGGTTGTTTCTTCCGTTTTCCTTGGGGCAAAATATGAACTTGAAAACATTCATGATTTGTGAGACCAGTTTTTTCCAAAACCAATTCAACGATATCTTCGGGTGTGGTACTCAACGGAAATTTTGATAAGTGGATAGAGTAAACAACTGCTTCGGGTGAATGTGAGACCGTTTCACCGGTTTGGATTGATTCGACAATTGTTTCAATTTCACTTTGGATAGATATCGTTATTTTTTCACCAAGTTTCTTCATTGCATCTGCCAACATTTTCCGATCAGCACATTTTCCGATTTGAGTGTCAGTGTCACCTTCTGTTTATTTTCTTCTGTTTGTGGCGTTTGTTTTGCTTCCAATTGTTCAATGTCTTTTTTGAGGTTATCCAATTGACCATTGAGGCTATCCAATTCAGCGGATAGGCGTGATATTTCATCGGTTTTGTTTCTGATCTCCGTCTTCAAGGTGTCATTCTGTTTTTTCATCTCCGCAAAATAATTCTTGCAGGTTGCGCATGTAATTGATATCGCTGATGATATGGAGAAGTATACTTTCAATCGTTGTATAGCACTACACACGTGTGCATAGCATTTTCGGCTACCGGTTGTCCGCGATCATCGAACAGGCTGAATCTAGTGAATAGTCTCTTTGTGTCTTCACATTTACTGCGGCATTGAATGTAGCACTTCTCATGGCAAGAAAAACATTGCAAATATTCACCATCAAAATCCGATCCCGTGCATTTACTGGCAACACAGTTATGTATTTCGGCAGACATGATTTCAACTCACAAGAAAAAAAAAGCATCAACAAAATAAAGCGGTGAATGTATAGTTGTATGTTTGTGTTTTTTTCACGATTGATTGTGACTTTCTTTTCAATTTTCAAAAAAATTCACTGAACTTCAATGTTTTCTGAGGTATTCACCGTATTGTTGGTTATGTTTATTGTCTTGTATTATTTTGCAATTAAACCCGAGTTATTCACTAAAACTTCAATGTTCTCGATGAAATTATCATTCAGAATTTCATTTCAATTGAGTTAATCACAAAAAATAATACTATAAACAGTAAATAATTGTAAATAAAATTTAGAATTTTACGGAGCGGAAAAAAGTGTTGTTTACTGTTTGACAGTTCAAATGCGCTGATTTTGCTTTATTTAAAATGGCGACAATGCTGGTTTTTAACTACAACATTTCATGTTTCATTTTCTTTGGCTCAATACACACCACTTTGTGTTTGTTTAGTGTTAGTTGGTTTTGTTGAAAAAAAATTTCGGGTACAAAACAACTGATATCAAATAAAAAAAAACTTCTTTCGAAGTAATTCCTCGTGACGAAAGCGAACACAAAACAGCGATATCAATATTAAAAAATCATTTCGGAGCGATTTAGATTTGCTTTTTTGCATTCTTCCACCTAATTTCAGAATCGCACCGTAATGATGTTTTAAAATTGATATCAGCTGTTTTATGTTCGCTTTCGTCACGAGGATTACTTTGAAAGAAGTTTATTTTATTTGATATGATATACATCAATGAAATTAAGTAATTCATGATTTATTTTCAATTTACAGTTATATGAAGTTGCAAATGGCTTATCAGAACAAGGTCAGCTACCGCTTGGAATTGCATTGATGAGTCGCAGTACAACTATTGCTAATACTCTCATTCAAAATGGAAAAGCAGACGTCAACGCGTACAATGGCGAGGTAATTTCAAATATAAAGATTTGTCCGAAGCTAAGTAAGCGCATCTTAGGAATTAACATTGCATTTTTTAGGGCTGTACTTTGTTAATCGATGCGATCAAAAGGGGTGATGGATTCGCAGCACAATTTTTGTTGGAAAAGGACTGCGATGTAAATCTAATGTCAAAAATTGCAGCTGATACAGCATTGCATTTGGCGTCCACATATTCACAAAAATCTTGTGACCTAGAGACTTTCAATGATATGGTTATGGTAGCCGAAACGCTAATTCAGAAGGGTGCCGATCCAAATATGCAAAACAGCCGTGGATAGTAGGTGTTTACCGATATTGGCATTGATTTGTTAGTATTTAGTAGGGCCAGCTAAAATTTGTATTCACTGATTTTGAAAACCTACATTGTGATTGTTGTAGAGCTCGGCGAGACTGAAAAA